TTATGATAACTTGGCTGTGCGGAAGAGCTCCAACGTTTTTTTAAACTGCAGGCAGTTTCTTCTCAAGTGTTTGGAAACCTGCAGCGGCTCTAATAATAAGTCGACATTGATTAGTGAAGTAGCAGTCCCAGAATCTTTTAGTGCTCCTTTTGTGGCTAAGAAATGTTTATTTTGAAATAAAATAGCACTTTAGTCGTCCACACGGTGTTAGCGCACGTGCACTTGAAATCACTCACCTAAAAACAGGCTTCCTGATGCAGCAGTTGCGCTGTCCAACGTTGCCCGCCTTTTTTACTGTGTGGCCGCTGGCACTAGTAGCAGTTGAGCAAAAGTATCTCGAGTCGCAGGAGCAACAACAGCCATTGAAGCTTACTGCTATAAATGTCCTTGGCGAACCAGACAGCTGGACATTGGCTCTCAATGTTGGTAGAGAGGCACGGCACACAACTAGTTCGAGCATAGGAGTTAGTTTTGTGGCACCTCTACACTTGTTTCTTTGCTGTAGCTCAAGTAGTGCACATCATTTGAGCATTTGGCAACTCACATGCAGGTGGCAATTTGTTGAACTTTCCATCACAGTGACTTTTGTGAGTGTGCAATGCACACACAACAGTACACATTACGATACCCAACGGAACTTTTAAACCACTTGTGACATTCCCTATGGAAACGCTAGCGGTGCATTTTTTTGTTTTCAGAAATAAAAGAGAAACGGACAAGTGGTATTTTATTATGTAAAAAAAGGTTCTTTTTTATGGCAACTGGTTTGATTAAGTGATTATTAATATTTAGGGTTGATGTTGTTGGAATAATTTCAAAATGCCCCACTTGTGACATAAACTGCGTCATGCATTTACCATAATTTCTTGATTACTAGAGCACTACTGTTGATAATATTGTTTTAGATGGACTTAAACATTGATGTTTTGCTCAGACGTAGACTGTCATTTGCCTTTAGTGTCTGTTTAAGAAGCCCCCCCCCCCAACCTCAAGGTTAGCTTCAGATTCGCCACCGAGAAGGTTACTTGTAAATGTCAGCGATGCACTGCCAGTATATATGAGCTGCCTTTAAGTAGAGCAATGATAACAGTTCTCTGCTGGTATTCAAAAGCCCTAATCTTGAGCTCACTATTGACGATGTATTGATTAACGAGAACGGCAACCTGAACATGATACTCAAGTTTGACACAAAAAAGTGCACTGGTCCCGACAACATTTCAAACAGCTTTCTGGTGCGATACTCCCTCTGGTGTGCACATTATTTGTCGATAATTTTTTGAAAATCCATAATTTCAAGCACTGTTCCCCAGCTCTAGAAACTAGCCAAAGTCTTGCCTTTGCATAAGTCTAGCAACAAACATTTCCTGTCCAACTACAGACCGATATCACTTCGAATTCCAGTAAACTGCTTGAGCATATTCACAATCATATAACGAAATACCTTGAGTCCAATAACCTACTCTTGAACATACAACATGGTTTTTGTCGTGGTTTCAGCACACCAACACAACTGGTCGAATTTGCACATGACATTTCCAGCAACCTTGACATTGGCAATCAGATTGATGCGTTATTCATAGACTTCTCCAAGACTTTCGACGCCGTTATACACAATAAGCTGCCAAGTAAAATTGATGCTATCTTTAACAACTCTCAATTAACCAATTGCATAGCTAGCTTTCTTAAATCTCGATCTCAATATGCGTCTTTCAACTCCACTTTGTCCTCAACTGTCGATGTAACTTTGGGTGTTCCACTGTGATCTGTTCTAGGACCTTGATTATTTTTAATATTTATAAATGACCTTCCGAACAATATGAAGTCAAAAGTCCGTCTTTATGCCGAGGACTGCGTCTTATATCAAGTAATTTCATCTGGCAATCATAGCATACTTCAGGATTCCTTCACTAGCTTTTGCACATGGTGTAGGCATTGACAGATGTGCATTAACTTTCAGAAAGCAGTAATTTATCATTCACTAACAGCCACTCCCCATTGCCGCATGTGTACACTTTCGAGAACACAATTATTCCCAGGGCACAAGAGAACAAATACCTTGTGGTTATCTTATCTCACAATATACAATGGTTGCAGCATATTGATTACATCACATTCAAAGCACTGAAAAAATTAGGTTACCTGCGTCGTACATCATCTAAATCTCGGAAATCCACTAGGTCATTGCTCTATAAAACCCTTATACGCCCTATACTGGAGTATGCTTCGTGTGTCTGGAACCCATATAAAACATGTGATGTCAACAAAGTTGAATCTGTACAAAGGGAGGCGGTTCGCTTCATTCGCCATCGCTACAATCGTAACTTTTTACCTTCTTCAGTTATGAATTTCTTGAAATTCCTTCTCCTGTCTACCAGACGGGATAGCGATTCCTTAAAATTATTGCATTCATTTCTTCACTCGTCTTGTCAACTATCTTCATATGATTACATCTCATATTTTAATACTCTTTCAGCTAGATATTACCGCCGCCTCAACTTAAAGCCTTTTGTACGCACATGAACACTTTTGAGAACAGTTATTTTCTTCGAGTTATTGAAAGGTGGAATCAATTACCCGGTAGTGTTCGTGAATTTTGTAGACCCACTGTTATAAGTAGATGGACTGTTATAAGTAATAATTATTTATTTTTTCTTTGCTATGATTGTTCCATCATGTAATCAGTGTACTTTGTTCATGTAAATGTACCCCACTCCTGCAATAGCCCTGTATTGGGTTGCAGTATTTGAAAATAAATAAATAAATGAATAAATCTAGTGATTTTCGACGCTCTGTAAATGGAAGTATTCGATTCTGTCCATGCAGGCCTTCATTATATGTGGGCTTATGCAGTTTTTTGAGCACTTTGAATATGCAAAAGAATATTACAGTATTTGAATTCACTCTCATAGGAATCTAAATTATAGGAAAGTTCAAATCATTTAAAATAAACGAATAGTGATGTGATTAGTATGCATGTAACTAAATTGTAAAGGTGGTTTCACTGCTAGGAAGGTGTGCTGTACCCTGAATACACTTATTCAGGGGGAAATCTGCGCTGTCTCAAACCCCACTTCAAGGTCAAACAATCATATTATTCTTACATCTATTTATAATATTTTAAGCTTAAAAAAAAGAACTTATGATACGGGTTTATATGCTCTTGGTAAATTTCAATATCTAACATATTTTATAGGACATCACTTGCATATTCTATCAAAAATAAAATCCTTCTACTATTCAAAGTTGCTACCACTTTCTTTGAACCAAAAAAATGTCCTCACCTTCCCAAAGGGAACCGCGAGAAAATGCGCATGCATTTCTTGCGCCGAGAGAGGGTACCGTTGCCCCCAGACATTCGCCTTCACCGACTTGCCACCACCTTGAGAGGCGCCCAGCCAGCGAATGGTCGAGAGTGAGGAGGGAGCGGACGGGAGAGTAAATGGTGAGAGTGAATGGTGAGAGGAGCGGCAAAGTGCTGCGCCTGTCATTGTACCCGACGGCCATAATGTCAGCGTCCTATCACCACAAACGCTACACGAACACTGGCAGCACACACACTACAAACGCGTTTCAAACGCACTGCTTTGAGGCGGTGGCAAGTTACGTTCAAGTCAAGGAGGTTGAGGCTCCAATTACTAGGGGCTAGGATAAGCGTGCGCACCCGCAGCTGTTGCTGACAGCTGCCAACGCCAAAGTGTTACATGATGGGGGCTCTGGTCGCTAGGGACGCAGGCGCCCACAGCTGTTACTATAGGAGAGTGCGATGGATGGATCCCGACGGATGCCTGACATAGCGCGACTAAGAAATGCAAATTCAATTTGAAATTATTCAAACCAAATCAATCTTAGCTTCAAATTCACTTCAAACCTAAAATTTACTGTTCGCACAAGCTTAACAATGTGGGACGATGCAGATGGCTCAGTTTTGTGGTCTCATCTAGGCCGACATATTGTGTCAATGGGTGACTCATGTGGATGGTATGTAAATACAATAGTTCAGGGAGCTAAGCCTTTGCTTCCGACAATGTCACTGTAGCTCCCATGGCAATAAGTTGGGGCAGATTTGTTTGAGATGGAGGGAAAAACTTTTGTGCTGCTTATGGGCTACTGTTCATGCTATCCAGAAGTTGCCAGACTGTACGACACTTCCAGCCAAATGGAGATCTCAGATATCAAGTGTGTCGGGGCTCAATTCAGTGAGCTGTAGGTGCTCCAAAGTGATAATAAACCCCAGTTCTTGTTACACAAGTTTGCAAGCTCTGCCAAGTACTATAGATTGTCATATTCTCATAATTCCCTAGTCAAAAGATGTGGTAGAAAGGGATTGGAGACTGTAAAGGATTTCCTCTGCACTAGGACTGCATCGTGGCACTGTTAATGAGAGGGACATGTCCCTGTTCATCCTTTCTGTCAAGATTATGTACCAACAAGCCCTACTTTCAACATGGCATACTTTCTTGTGATTCACAGCATTTCATAGCATTGGTTTTCAATATTGCTTTGCATCACATCAATAGCTCTTGCAAGCATATTTTTTTTAGCTTGTCAATAATGAAGAGTTTTTGAAAGATGACTGGGAGTGAGAATGTTCATTTGTTTGCTTTCTCACACTACTGTGTCCTGCCTAAAGTAGTGGCTTCACTATATTTGTTCTGTTTCTATTTATGCAGCTAACTGGCTTACCCCACACCATCTGAATTCTACTGTTTGCAATTTGTAAAGTTTTGAAAATTGTCTTTACAATTTTTCAGCATGTCTACGGCAGTTTAATTTCATGATAATCCTTGTCGCACTAATATTCGCTTTTTCAATCTAATATTTAGTTACAATATTTGTTTTTGTTAACTTTATGCATATTGTCTTATAGGATCCTCTGGCTCATATTAAGTCATACTCACTGTTGCTTATGTAAACTAGTGAGAAGAAGTTTTTTTTTTTTTCAGTATTCCTGAAACATGTGCATTTAGTTTGAAGTAGTAAATAAATTTAAAAATGTGCAGTGTCTTCTTGCTGGAAATGGATGCCTGCAGATGAGTGAAACCTTTTGGAGAAAGCACACATTGTTGATACCTGCAGGCGGCAATGCCTGGAACTGCTGGCTGATAAAATGTCTGCTGAAGTGGCTGACAGCACGGAGCTGCATTATTTGCCACCAGTCCATGGCACCACTATTGACCGAGAAGATCTTGGAACCAGGTATGCCTTCATGCTCATAATTGAATGTAGGGATCTTTCATTGTTACTGCTTTTTATTTAGAACTCTGGCATTATACTCTGCCTCTAAAGTTTATTGGGCAGTTTGATTCATGGGAACAGCTGGACTGATGCCCAAGCAGACCTTTTAGCACTCGGGAAGCTGTTTTACCATTCATTTAAGGAGACAAAGTAAGCAAAAGTATTGAAAAGTCATTTTTTCTTTTTGTGTTATTTGAAATCTACAGCCTTTTCTGAACCAGAATGAGTCATTTGTTTGTCTTAGTACAATTTTTTTCTCTGAAAATGACATATTTCAAAACTTGTGCGCCGGCCTCCCATGCCCCCATTCTGAAGTAGCAGATTCTTTGCAGTTCAAGCATCATAGTCATATGAAGAAGTTACAGTATTCAAGCTGGAGTGCATTTGGCACATTCAGAAGAGAATGGGCTCAGCACTGTGAAAACAGAAAAAAGTAGAGGGACCAAGCTTTCTGTCAGGAAATCTATATCTGGTTAAGGATGTGTCATCATTGACAAGCACCAAAATTGTTATTAGTTGGCCATTAAAAGAAATAGAGCTAGCTTGAAGGACATGGAAAGGCTGTCCGGTCCACATATTTTCACATGGCATCAAAGGACACCAATCAATCCCATGACCTCTGCTCGAAGGATGCCAAAACTTGGTGTAAATTCAACAAAGCCCAGTTAAATGGTGAACCATTCATTTATAAGGAACATTTTTCAGCATCTGTTACTGAGGCTGTTAAGCCATTTATCTGGAACTCATCCATAATTACTTGCTAATTGCCTCCATGGGGAAACTCAAAACCATAACAGTTGTTAGATTGTCGTGTGGGAGCACGATTAAAAAAAAAATGTTTTCCTTGGGCACCAAACACTGTTAATATGCACTCTTGATGCTGTGTTCACTTTTAATGATATCGATATGGTCTGTGTTAACATGCTCGACTATTTTGGAAATTTTCCTGGGCTCTGCACAGTGCAGGGCTTACCCTCCCTCAAACTCTGTCAACAGTTCTGTGCTGACACGTCTGCACAGCAGACGACAAATGAGGCTCGCCAGGCAAGTCGTTTAAACACAAAAAGAAAAAAAATGATATTGGTGATGAGTGTCTGGCTGGTGCCTATTAAACAGGTTCATTAATTTGCTGTTATCTCGTTGTACCTCTTAAATAATGTAGATTTTCAACTTTAAATGCGATTATCTCAAAACATGCTTTTTTGTACTTACGCTCATTTTTCTCAGCAACCACATCATCTATAATCATAGATTTGGCCAGTATTTAAATAACTCAATAGGGAATATGCCGAAGCAGAATTATTGTTGTGTGAGGAAGGGCTTTTATGCAACACAATATGTAATAAGGGTTATCGTAATATATAGTGGTTTTGGGACTTTAAACCCCACATACTGACCCCTAATAGCTGTCATAGAGTGTAATTAGGTTCTGAAGTAAAAATTTCCCAAAAAATGAGCATCACAATTTTCATTGATAACTCTGCTTTAGTAAGAATAGTAATAGCTGATCTTCACAATAATAGTAAAATAATTACTGTAGCTTTTATGGTTATGGAGAAAAGGCGACACAAAATATGCTCAAAAGTGTTGTGGCTCGGGCGAGTTGGTTATCCATGAACTTAGCTTCTATTAGCGCGGCACATATGAAAAGGAAAGAGGAAAGAATACAGAGACGTCAAGACAGGTAGGCGCTAAACTTCCAACTGTTTATTTCATGCCCTTGACACCCATCTTATACATGCGTAGAAACACGACTCATCTTGCACGTGGTGACATCCCAAGAAACGTCATTTCCTTATCTGTCAAAGCAATCGAAGGTGAACTCACACACAAGTTTCCCATTTTTTCTATTGCCTCGGCTTCTTTGATCTCACGTGTCAGCTGATTGCGAGACCGGCTGATAACGGTGCAGCTATACAGATCAGGGGAGCACCCACACCCCTTGCAGTGCGCCGCCAAGAACCCTCCCGCTGAAAGTTTATTTCTCGCGTTGTAAGCATGTTCCCGCAGTCTATCATTAAGACACCGCTTAGTCTGTCCTATGTAATATCTTCCACACGATAACAAGAACACGTACACAACGCAACACACACAATCTACATATCTAACCTGATGTTTCTTATCACATACTAAGCGAATAGAACTAATTGGGCAGGTCAACTTGCAAAGCTCCCCTAGTTTTTTGGGGGCTGAAAACACCACACGTACGTGAGCCCGCTGGGCTACCTTCTTCAAGTTATGAGAGACAGTGTGCATATATGGGATTACACCTATTCTGCTACCCGAACACTCCAACACTTGTTGCCTATCTTTCTGTGAAGCTTTGAGGATACGCTCAGCTACAGAGACCTGCAGCAGAACAGGGTACCCTGCTTCGGTGAGACGCTTACTCTGAGCCTCGAAACTGTGTGCCATTTTGTGATGACACGATTTTGCTAGGGCGTTTTTAAAACACAAGTTTGCGATTCCTCTCTTTATAAGCTTAGAGTGCGCCGAGACAAAAGAAAGCAGAGGCTTATTTGCCCGTGGCTCATACGACCAGCAAGTGTGATTTCCTAGAAAAAACAACCGGATATCCAAAAACCGCAGAGAGGCACCTTGGGGGAGCTCGCAAGTAATTTCAAGGGGTGCGAGACATTCCTTAATCGCTGGTAATACTTCTTCAACCTTCGCTTCTAGGTCAACTGGTGTACAGTCCATCAAAAACAGGAAATCATCGACAAAACGAAAAGATTTGCACACTGGAGTGTCGTCTAACGTTGAGGACAAGGAAGTGCTAAGGCTGGATAAAAACAGATCACTAAGAATGGGTGCTATGCACGAGCCGATGCATACACCGTTTTTTTGCAATACAACGCGTTGTCCCATGAGATAAAAGTAGAGGAAAGGTAAAAAGATAAAAGTTCTAAAAAGTGACTCAACGATAATGAAGCTTCATTTTGAAAGCGCGTGACACCGTAATCATCTATGGCATGTTCAATAGCAGACAACAGAGCACCATGAGGTATCGAGTAATACAAGTCTTTTATGTCCACCGAGAAGGCTTGGTAACTGTCATGTGTGTGGTTATTCAAGAATTCAATTACCTGATCGGAGTTCCTAATCAAGAAAGGATCATTAACGGGTAAACAAGCAAGCTTGGCTTGAAGAAACAAAGTTAAACAAACAAAAGTTAAGGCGCAGGCCAAGAAACTGTGTAGTAGGCTGAATCTTGATAAGCTAAAGAAAAGTGTCAATGACAGCAGACGAGGTCACCTTGAAGTTCTCTTCAGCGCTAAGACCCACAAACCAGACGTCCCGTTGAGGGTAATTATTTCGGAAAATGACACATGGCAAAAGTCAGTCGCTTTGTTTCTTCAAGCCAAGCTTGCTTGTTTACCCGTTAATGATCCTTTCTTGATTAGGAACTCCGATCAGGTAATTGAATTCTTGAATAACCACACACATGACAGTTACCAAGCCTTCTCGGTGGACATAAAAGACTTGTATTACTCGATACCTCATGGTGCTCTGTTGTCTGCTATTGAACATGCCATAGATGATTACGGTGTCACGCGCTTTCAAAATGAAGCTTCATTATCGTTGAGTCACTTTTTAGAACTTTTATCTTTTTACCTTTCCTCTACTTTTATCTCATGGGACAACGCGTTGTATTTGCAAAAAAACGGTGTATGCATCGGCTCGTGCATAGCACCCATTCTTAGTGATCTGTTTTTATCCAGCCTTAGCACTTCCTTGTCCTCAACGTTAGACGACACTCCAGTGTGCAAATCTTTTCGTTTTGTCGATGATTTCCTGTTTTTGATGGACTGTACACCAGTTGACCTAGAAGCGAAGGTTGAAGAAGTATTACCAGCGATTAAGGAATGTCTCGCACCCCTTGAAATTACTTGCGAGCTCCCCCAAGGTGCCTCTCTGCGGTTTTTGGATATCCGGTTGTTTTTTCTAGGAAATCACACTTGCTGGTCGTATGAGCCACGGGCAAATAAGCCTCTGCTTTCTTTTGTCTCGGCGCACTCTAAGCTTATAAAGAGAGGAATCGCAAACTTGTGTTTTAAAAACGCCCTAGCAAATCGTGTCATCACAAAATGGCACACAGTTTCGAGGCTCAGAGTAAGCGTCTCACCGAAGCAGGGTACCCTGTTCTGCTGCAGGTCTCTGTAGCTGAGCGTATCCTCAAAGCTTCACAGAAAGATAGGCAACAAGTGTTGGAGTGTTCGGGTAGCAGAATAGGTGTAATCCCATATATGCACACTGTCTCTCATAACTTGAAGAAGGTAGCCCAGCGGGCTCACGTACGTGTGGTGTTTTCAGCCCCCAAAAAACTAGGGGAGCTTTGCAAGTTGACCTGCCCAATTAGTTCTATTCGCTTAGTATGTGATAAGAAACATCAGGTTAGATATGTAGATTGTGTGTGTTGCGTTGTGTACGTGTTCTTGTTATCGTGTGGAAGATATTACATAGGACAGACTAAGCGGTGTCTTAATGATAGACTGCGGGAACATGCTTACAACGCGAGAAATAAACTTTCAGCGGGAGGGTTCTTGGCGGCGCACTGCAAGGGGTGTGGGTGCTCCCCTGATCTGTATAGCTGCACCGTTATCAGCCGGTCTCGCAATCAGCTGACACGTGAGATCAAAGAAGCCGAGGCAATAGAAAAAATGGGAAACTTGTGTGTGAGTTCACCTTCGATTGCTTTGACAGATAAGGAAATGACGTTTCTTGGGATGTCACCACGTGCAAGATGAGTCGTGTTTCTACGCATGTATAAGATGGGTGTCAAGGGCATGAAATAAACAGTTGGAAGTTTAGCGCCTACCTGTCTTGACGTCTCTGTATTCTTTCCTCTTTCCTTTTCATATGTGCCGCGCTAATAGAAGCTAAGTTCACAAAATATGCCTAAAATACATCACGTGTATAGAGCCTACCCTGTTCCCTAAAGGGACACTAAAGGCAAATAT